CTCTAGTTCAGGAGCAACCTCAGATTTCTAGTCTTGAAAATACATGTACTGACTTCAGGTCTTTGAAAGCCACTGAATAGTTTTCAATAACCTACTTATAATATCGCTTCTAATATTTTGTTCTGCCTTTTTTTGTTTATTTGTTTACATCAAATGGCCCACATAATTTCCCAAAACTTAACAAAAAAAGAAATAGCTCTGTAGTTCTCCACCAAAGCTTGTCAGTTTTGGTGACATCTCTCCTTTGTGCTGTGAGGAGTACCTTTTCCCTTATTCCAGGGTCTAGTTATCTGACAAAATGTTAAAGACTGAAGATAAATAATATGGTAGGTAATTTGGTATTTCTCTGAAGATGTTTTCTTTTTTGCACATGGAAATAGGTAAAAATAAATAGCTGACATTTTGCTGTGGGAGCCCAACACAATATAATTATACAGATAGATAAAAAACAAATGTAGTAAGGCACTGTAGCAAATTCAATTATGTTTCTGGCAGCTATTTTTTGCTTTCCAGTCAGAGAAGATTGCATAGGTTCAGAAGCCCTAAAGAACTCAATATTGGAAATAAAACCAGGCAGATGATGAATAATAAAAAATATATGCTCTTCATAAAAATAATTAGAAAAATAGCTGATAAAAATCTTGAGGTTTCTGCTCAAAGAGATGAAATACATGTAAAATCATATTTCAGGATCTCAGAAATGTGCCCAAGTCTTCTAGCAAAAAGGAGGAATTGAGCACTTAATATTAACAAGGTAAGATATCTTAAGAATGGTTTTATGTGACAACCAGAGGAATTATAAATATTGGAGTGACTGAGATGTGAGAGTTTTATTTGAGCTCATTTTCTCCACATAACTAGTTTGAGTTTTTTAATATTCAATTGCATTTGTGCTTACATGTCTTCACGCACACTGAGTTTTGTTCCTCACTTTCTCTAATTTGGTCCATGCCCAGAAATTTTGAATTTACCCAGGACTGTTGTACACACATGACACCATTTTATTTCTAATGTTCTAGTTACTGACTTTAATGTCAAAACTCATACATAGGATTAATAAAACCATATAAAATACTGACATATTACACAGAAAGACTCTAAAAAGTATCAGAAGGTAAAATTTCCCACTACTTTTCCTCTATTGCTCTGTGAGGGAAACAAGGAGCATGTTCCTCGAAGAAATTCTGCACAACACAGCTGCAGACAGGACAGCAAAGGAACAAAATTTAGCAGCATTAATTATAGTGCTTAAAACCAGGGTACTTTTCATCTTTCATAATGTTTGCATTCAAAGCCAAGCGAGACTCCAAAAGCAATGTGTGCAGCAAGGCAAGCTTCAATAAGGGAGTTTGTTGCAGCAGCTGTACCTTCACGGTTTTGCATTACAAACCATTTAAATGAGGAATACAGAAACCCACATATAATAAATTCAACAGCAGGTCAAGTTTTTACATGAAGGACTGAAAAATCGAAAAGCTGACAGCATGGGAATTAATGAGAAGGAGAACGAGGAGAGTAGAAAAGACTCATTTTTGCATTCAGAGAGGGGAGCATATGAACTCTACTAACTCCAGGTTTGCTTTGTTATCCATTCCTTATGTTCTGTAAAGTAATATTTAAATACAATACATGGCTGGGCATTTTGAGTTACTTAGCTCTGTTTCTTGTAATCAAACTAACAGCCCTATCCATTATATATCTTCATATATATGCTAATTTTCAATCGTGAACAGAAAGTGCTTCAGTTGATCTTTAAGACCACGATTCAAACTGATTAGAAGAACAATTATTGGAGGTGCATGAGGTGCACAGAACTTTAAAAGTGAAATTCCAGAGTATCCTTAAGTCCTCAGTTAATCAAAATTTGAAGAACTGGAATTGTCTCTAAGGAAGAATTCTAGTATGACAATCTACGATTTCTGGTTTTGACTTGCTTACTAACTCTCTCCTAGGAAGGTAAACAAGTTCAGGACCCATGCCTCAATTTGGCCTCTTTTGAAAGGGAGATAGTGTACCACATCTGAGATTAAAATTTGTAGCTAGTAGCTCTCAAAATATTTGTCAAAAAATGCTTTAAATGATACAATAAATACAGTAAATACTTTGCTGACTTGAGTTGCCTAATTTTTTAAAAAGTAAAAATATTAGGGTTTCTTATTGTAGAACAGCTGGTCTCATTTTTTTTCCACGAATTTATTTGTACTTACACTCCCTCTAGGTATATTGGGACAAAGGTTTTCAAGTACAGTCTTCACCAGATCTACGTGCACCATTATTGTCACAGATTTTCATTACCATGTCCCTATTTCTCCAACTCCCAATGTCTACAAACCCATGCTATGACACGAATAATTTGATCTTCCTCTGCCTTGTTTCTCCTGCAGGAAAAAACCGCACAGAAATCACATTGAAGTGATATTGGTGGGAATGATGGGAGAATCTCTTCCACATTCTCTCACAGGTCACCACACCTGCAAAGTGTTGCACAGCTCAGGCTTGCCCTGAATCTAACAACTTTCTGTGCACTCACTCAGAAGGCACCAAGGCAGTATGACAGCATGCACTTAGAGCCAAGTATCTCCTACCTTACAAGCCAACATGCCTGGAAAGACAGGCAGCAGAGCCTTCTAATGGAAGGCTTCAGTGTAGTTTGGGGCACCCTTTAATCATAGAATCATAGAATCAGCTGGGTTGGAAAGAGATCATCTGAGATCATCAAATCCAACCCTTGATCCAACACCACCACAGTTACTAGACTATGGCACTAAGTGCCACATCCAGTCTCATCTTGAAAACTTCCAGGGACAGAGAAACCACCACTTCCCTGGGCAGACCATTCCAATGCCTGATTACCCTCTCTGTAAAGAATTTCTTCCTAATATCCAACCTAAACATCCCCTAGCAGAGCTTAAGACCGAGCCCTCTTGTCCTGCTACTGGTTGCCTGCGGAAACAGACCGACCCCCACCTGGCTACAACCTCCTCTCAGGTAATTGTAGAGAGTGATGAGGTGTCCCCTGAGCCTTCTCTTCTCCAGACTAAACAACCCCAGCTCCCTCAGCCTCTCCTCATAGGACCTGTGCTCGAGTCCCTTCACCAGCCTCGTTGCTCTTCTCTGGACCTGCTCCAGCACCTCAATATCCTTCCTGAACTGAGGGGCCCAGAGCTGAACACAATACTCAAGGTGTGGCCTCACCAGCCCAGAGTACAGAGGAAGAATCACTTCTCTCGTCCTGCTGGCCACACTGTTCCTGATACAGACGAGGGTGTCATTGACCTTCTTGGCCACCTGGGCACACTGCTGGCTTAATGACACTAAAGCTTTTACAAAGTCTTGATAACTTAGCTTTTAAGC